GAGAAACTCGGACCAAATTATTGCGCCTCAGCCTTAACACCCTAGAAGAAGAGTGGGTTTGGATAGCCCCTCACAGGTGCTCTTGAGAATCTTTATCAATGTCCTTATATTGCGATCGAGGTGATGCTTAATCATCAATGACCATAAAGATCGCGATTAATAATTGAGCGAGCAAGCCTTTTATTTTATAATTATCAGTCATGTCTTTAGCGAATAATAAAAAAGAAAGCCCAAATGAAAAAATATTGCCTTCACCATTATTATCGATTATTATTATTATATTATTTGATGGCTTTTATGTATTATTAAGGTTTTAATATAAGAAATAAAAAAACAAGTCTTTACGTGGATTTCAAAGTTTCATTTTATCCATTCATGATAAATTAAAAAGAATAATTTAAAGTCAATAATAATATCTAAAAAATATTTATAAAAGACATCCTTTTTTAATTATTGAAATATTCCATAATTAGATTTTATAATAATTCATTATTTAAAGTGCTTGAGAAAACCTTAGGGTATTCTTAAACACCTCATTAATTTGATAGAAGCAAAATTCTAATTAGTTACTGTAACTATCATTTTCAATAAACAAATCAGAAAGATAAGTATCATGTTTTTTCTTCAAAAATTGATTATTTATAAAGCTCTCTCCAGCATTACCTTTGCATTTTCTTCATATTGATAGCATTTTCAAGCATTTAATTATATAAACGTCATCTGATTGAGATGCATGAAAACAACTGTAATCATTTTTGGGGGGGTTCGTTGATTTTCTTTTTGTAAGGAGTCATTTCCATACCCAGAAAACGTTTTTTTACTATCCTATTTCAACTTTATAGAGTTTATTCACTCACTAGTGTCAATAAAATTTAGGGAATGGTTTCGTAAACCTAAATTTGGTGACATTGTGATAATTATTTAATAAAAAGACGACAAGGAAAACGGAAAATGGAATTTAGTATTAACCATTAACGTGGTTCCATGTACTTTACAACTGAAGTGAATGTGGAGATTTAACGTGTTGTTACGCGTAACGTAGCACGATAGCAAAGTTTATTCAGGCGATGCAATACGTTAATTTTCGCCAAAGTCACGTGAATGCGTTCCTTCGTTAGTTATTCAATTCTTAGTTACTTAAAATAATACCAAATAAACCAAGTACTAATTTAGTAGCAACAGATTTTAAGCGGAATAATTTCATTTAATAGCATGTCCTTTATTAGATCATTGAGCTTGAACCTTTTACATTTTGAATAAATGCTTTAGTAATCCATGACACACTTTTTGTGTGAAATCCAATGTAAAATGACTCGAGAAGTTCTCTATTCTTGCTGTATTCCACAAAAAAGCACTTTCATCCGAGTAACCTATTAATATATAGTTTCTGCTTTTGTATTCTTACAAGCAATATTAAAATCTCATTAGTATCTACTGTAAATAAAATGCTAGCCAATAATAAGATACCGGCCAAATAGTCATATCCCAGATATCCAGATATCATCTGGCGAGAAAGGTCACAAAGTATTAACAGAAATACTGTAGCATGTCTTATAATTACTATCTAATGTGATTTAGGTGCCGTCCGGTGAGAAGTACGGCACAGTATATCCTAGAATACCCGGATTGTTAAGCAACTACAACCGCACCACCTTACTCATGACATTTTGGTGCAATTCAATAAGAAAGTTACTCTTTTAATTCGTTCACTGTGTCCTTTGAAGATGTTCTCCAGAGTTTTAGCCATTGAGGTTTAAATAATTTATCTCACCAAAAAACGCTGTAACTCTAGGCTGCACCGGCAATACCAATGCCAAATTTTTAGTGTAAAATCATTTTCACCTAACTTTAAAAGTATTTTCTTCTTCATCTTCTAATTGGATATGACTTAACGTACTTTATAATAATTCTTGTTTAGATAAAAGAGCTAGCTATATTTCTTGAAAAAGTCAGTGTATGATTAGGATTAAACTTTTGTTGATGCTTTAATTAAATTACCATTCGGAGGTAAGCTTTTCTTTCAAGTATCTTTGAATCATTATCTAGTTACAATTTTCATAGTTTGAAGCGAAATAAATAATTAAATAATAAGCCTATTATCTAACTCGTCTTTTTAATAATCAATCATTCAAAACTCTGATAAAGGTGACAACCGAAGATAGAATTTACCGCTCCGGCCTCACTTAAGAGAAATAAGACCTTTTTTCGAGGGCCAAGAAACCATCAACCCTAGTGACACATACATTTCTAATCTTATTCATCTTGTTAAAGTTAATTTTCCTAACTGCCGCCAGCGTTCTATGGCATAGAGTCTCCTTGGCGTAATTTTGCAAATTTTCATCACTCTGGTTCGTAAAATTACCAAATCTGCTTTCTAATTTCTGAATGTCGCCCCGGTGGCTTTAAATCTATCTGTACATAATAATCTGTCCTTAGCGTTGACACAGACCTATTAAGGATTTTGACGAACAAAACTGCTCGAGTTTATTAAATAACTTTCTTGAATAATATCTATTGATCTTGGATTAAATATTCACTGTCTTGTCTTCCTAGAATTCATTCCCTGATGAATATTTAATTCTTGGGCACAACTTATTATTTCCCCAACGCCTTCAAATTAAATTCTAACCGCAAGATAGCTAAATTCATGGTTTCAATGGCTATTTTAAAGGTTTGATGCCAACTTCTTTCGCCATTTGGGATATGCATAATGCCCGAAAGATGATAAGTTAATCTCTTTTTTAAATTATTTGATATAATATAAATGCATATGCAGTTTCTCATTAATTCCTAACCGCATCGTGAAGCTAAAATGGGCGGAATATTTGTAATAATTTGCAGGGTTGAACCTCATCTTGTTCTTGTAGTCCTTTTAGTCGGAATGTTGCAATTTCGTGCTGTTAGTAACTGCTCCAATATTATTTGTGATTTTTTTATTGGGTATAGATGACAATGCAAACTATTTCATGAATTATCTCTTTCGTTTTAAATTTCACTTTCTGAACCAATTTTTCAATACCGTATTCTCGTGAGATAATCTATTGATTTTTCTTTTGTGCAAGACTATGATTTTTAGATCGCGGATAATATTCTAAATCCCAGGTGCTTTATCTTCGAATAATGAATCTTGATTAAGAAACCCTAGTTTTGGCAAAGAGGTTGGCGCCCATATGTCTATTAAAGAGGTTGATGACACAATTAGACTGGTAGTAGGTATATTTTCTTGATATGTTTTTTTTTTTTTTAGCAAGGCACTTTTTTGATGTTGAGGGTTTGATCAATGTTTCGCTATACTTTGTTACATACTTTGAGCTTCCTTATGGTAAGCATCCCATCATTTGCTTTTCTATTTAACCGAGAGGACATACTGTATTCACTTAGATTCTTTGCCCTTTTATATAGGCATCTAATGCATCCAACACCCTTGGTACCGTAGTTGACCATTATGCATTCTACCGTAATCAACGTAATTAACGCAGTCGATATTTTTCTCTAGTTTCACATGAAATGTCGTTCCTGAGCAAAATCTATCACATATGGGACGACAGTATATGTGATACAAAAGTTATGTGATTACAAAAGTTATGGATAATGTATAAAGTACTGCAATAGGCTGTGTTGGCTAAAATAAATAAAATAACAACAATAATAAATAAGGTTTAAATATCATCATATACAAGAACAATACCTTTAGCCCAGATAGTAGTCAGACGGTAGGTCACATGAAATTATTTACTAATTGTGTTTTTAAAGTACTGTACTGTATATTATTCTTTTGTAATGAATAAATATATTATTACTTAACAATAGGTTATTATTTTTTAAAAAGAACAATACTATTGTTCAATGACGTGTAATATTTTTTATATAATGTATACAGCGATGAGTTATTGAGATTATTAGATATACAGTAAACCAACTCTATTTTAGAAAAAAATCATAAAAGTTGTAATTTAAAATAAAACATATAGGTCTATAATTTTATGTTCATTTTAATTTCATTAAAAATCATATAAAAATGACTCTTTACTTATCGTGTTTAACTTACAGAATAGAAATGATTTTACATTATAATTTTAGTTATATTTAATTATAAATAAATAGTTTCGTTTTTTTTTAAAAAAAAATAAAAAATTTATTAAAATCTAGTTACTTATTGATGTGATTTTTTACACTTGATCTTTGGGCAAGCTGATATATGATAAAACAACCAAATAGAAAAAAAAAACGATAGCAAATACTGTAATATTTTAATTAAATAAATCATATGCAATCAATATACAGTATACAGTTATGGTGATTATAGGTATTTTACATTTGCGCGAAAATTCAAATCCGTTTGTTTATTATTATTATTATTTTATTATTGATAAATTCGTGTCTTTATTATAGGTACGTGGGTTCGGCAACAAATGTTTTTTACATCGGAAATAAGCAAATGCTAAATACTGTAGATCAAATCCGATTTTTCATTTGTTTTTTTTTTATCGATTCAATAAAACTTTTTCATATGCGACAGACATTTAACATCTGCACGTTCTACAGTTAATGAATCATCGCCCTTATTCTTCATCAAAAGTGAAAAGGTATCGAAAATCAAATCATGTCGACAATTTTTAATAGTAATTCGTGAGATGCAATCACAAGTGGAATTCATATTCACCGCATCGCTCTATTAAATTCACGTGTCAAAGTGTGTCCAAAACAGTTTCGTGTGTAGTTTTTTTCAGGCGCTTTAATATCAAATGCATACATAGAAAATGTTGATAATTACGTATTAAGAACTATATAATTTTATCACAAAGAAATAGTATTTTCTATACCGTCAGCAAGAAATCTTGATTTATGCATAATGTAAATCTTAAAAGGAAATAATCAAGCAGAGAATTCGAATTCGTCATAGATACATATACCATAATATAGCCCATTTCAAGAGGCATCATTACTTTTTAAAGCTCAATATAGCTTTCGCCAATTTCCGAATCATCATATTCCGAATTCTCTTTTTCCCTACCGAAACCTGCACTCCTATCAGAAAAATTCTCAACACGATTTATGAACTCTTCAATGCCATTAAAATATTCTTGTCCGTGCCTCGTTGACTGTTGCATGGGTTTCCAAGGAGCCATGCATGGTGACGGAGGCGCACTGGGAATGTACGAGGGTGATGCGGGACTAATCGATAATGTTGAAGGGTGCGAATCTCTCACATATAGAAACGAATCAGCAGTGTCATAAAAGTGGAGGTTATGACTCGGTTCAGGTAGATGCACATCAATTTCATCACTAGGTGGGGATAAGGCGATGTTTCCACCGAATTGAATTACTTCTAGATCAAAATGAGGACTTTCCAAATCAATTCCCAAACTCTCTAATAAGTCTTGGACTTCGAGAATCGTCATTCCGCGCGGAAAATTCACTCGCAACTCAGAGTCGAAAACCTTGATCTCATAACCAACACCGTGCGTCTGAAGAATTTTTAGGATCGAAATGACCTCCATCATATGATTATGATGGATCTCTTCATGTTCTTCTAGATTCTCGATAAATGACAAGTCCAGCTTATTCATCGTAGTTACATTCTTCTTACGTATCATATGTGAGAGCATGCTAGCGATGGAATTAATACTGCTGCAACTGTTTTCCATGGAAATTGAACTTTCGTTAAAGTCCCAGAAAAGAGAAGAGCTAAGCATAAAAGACATGTACACTTGATCATTAATTTTTTCAGTAATTTCTTGATCTATGATTTTGGCGACAGTTTTATTTTTACGTGATTTTTTGATAGTCGTTCTACGAACAACTCGGGGATTGTTATGTTTATATTCGTCGGTTTCTTGTTTTTGTACAGCATCAAAAATACCTTTGCTTTGAAACAATTTACGTTCTGCCTCTATCTTGAGACCTACAAATTCAGAAGGGTTTGCGCTTGGATTCGAATTATCAGGTACACGAGCCCATAAAGCTCCAGTTTTGGTCGCAAGCGCCGAAAAAGGTTTACAACCTAACTTTGCAAGAACCACCCCACCACTACTAAAACCGTTGTTGAACATTGTCGTTTGAGCAGATGAAAAATTTCGCGCTCCATTATTGCAAAACACATTCCTTGTTCCAGCTGGCTGTAGAAATACGTGGTTTGTGATCAAACCTACTCTCTGTGGCTTACATACTCTCAGTGGAGTTTGAGTAAAGGTTATCGGTACAGGGGCCGGAAGAGGCGTAAAGGATTTGAAAATGGTGAAATTTTCGAAAAGAAAATCACGAAGACCAGTTTGCTGCTGAGCTTTAACCGAGTTGTAAAAGCTTACTTGAGAAAATGATATTTGTATTTCAGGTACTGGTTGCTTGGTGAAGATGGTAAGTTGCGAAGTTCCAGTAGCAGTACTATTGGCCTTTGGTCCCTTGACCCATAAGGTCATAACACGCTCCAGGGGCTCCGCCAGAGCTTTTAGTTGTTTCCACATGGCAGCGTCCGTATGTTGCGAACGCGGCTATTGTGTGAGAAGGGTTTTGTTCTTTGATAATTATGAAATCAATAAACTGGTCTTTTTATCGAATCAATGATCGACCCCTGCATTTTGTTTGGTATTTTAGGCTACACCAGTTGTTCGAAAACGGTAAGAAGTAGAGATAATCATTTTGAACTAAAAAAATCATAAGAACGTCATGAGAACGTGTGGTACGTACATAAATTTCTTCTATGATATCTGTTAATGACGTAAACAAATACGCAATCCTTATTTGATTAATTAGTGAGGCACGTGTCTGTGGGAATTCTTTGACGCGAGCTACTGTACCACCAGCTACCAATAGGAGAAAATGGATGATGCACATATTTCGCCTTTGACTCAAAATATTGCGTATACCAAGATAAATTTTGGTTGCTTGGTTCATCATCATTGAGTCTAAATTGCAATTTCTGCATTCAACAATTTTTTACGTGAATTGCGTAAAGACTATATTATTTACTATTATTCTTACGTACGTAGCTATTTACCAATTTATCGGTATGCATAAGAAGCGCCGGTTCCCGATTCGGCAAGTATTTTCGTCACATGGCACAAATGTTCACAGTTTTCATTCTTCCGCGCGTCTTAAAGAGTGAGAATAATGAACTTTGATAAGATCAAGCTACATTATTGGAACAAATTTTTGTTTCTTATGACCAATCTTGTATCATTTCCTAATTGTTGCTGCGAAGTGAGACTACCTTATCTGAAGAATAAATTCGGTTTTCCTTTTCTCATTATTTCTTCATAGTACGACACACAAATAAACACACGATCAATATTTGACCTGTTGGCCTGAGTGCTGCTTGTGTTTCATGAAGAAATCTTAAAAACTTTTTACCACCTCTTGTGTACTTTACCATTTTTGGCTATGACCCATAATTCAATAAGTTATTTGATAATTGATTTTTCCATTCGTTCGATTTTCAGAGCTGATTATAGTGCTCGTACGACTGCTCTTGCCCTTAATGGGACATAAAGGTTCCTTTAGAAAGCAAGCACGTTGGGGCGTATTAGTAAAAGATATGACAAAACTTTTGAATTATTTGTTAAATACGAAAATTTATCATGTGCCCAAATATTTTTGGCATATACGATTACAAAATTGTCGGTGTTTATTAGTAAGATGATTTGAATTTTACAAATTCTATTAAACGTTTACAATCCAATACTGGGATTTATTTGATTTTAGCTTACATGATTTGCAAATGTAATGAAAATTAAACTTGTGTATATAGATGCGATATGTTGATTAATTACTAATAATAACTTTCGTTTCGTATTTTCTAAATAATAATTATTCACATATACAGTATTATTAAATTTAATTTTGATTAGAAATTTTTAAATACGTATATATTTTAATATTTTAATGTAATGATTTTTACTTTATCTAGAATTAATAACACCATATTGATTCTTCTTTAACACATATTTAATTTCTCATTCATAAAACTTTTGATGTATTTCATAACTAGAAGAATCATCAAGAATTAAATGATAAAAATGTTTACTTTTGCATCTTGAACCAAAATGTATACATTAAATATAATCTACCTGGCACAATATTTTTTTAATTATCTGATAATATCATTTACTGTTGTTATAACTAGTATAGAATAATTAAAATCCAAAACAATATTTTCTACTATCTTTATATTTATTATAATAAATCAAGTCCCGTTAATATTAAATGTAAATTTATCTGCTATAATAATCGATTAATATTTTTTTTTAATATCATCTTCCTACTTCTATATATTATATTAATATATTTGTTTGCAATTACATGTTTGTTATAATTTATTTAATAATAAACATTTATATAATCTGAATTGTTATATTATATGTAATATAACATAATTAATTCTTGTAATAGATATTTTGTCTTATTTATTATTTTTTTCATTAAATAAATAAGTATTGAATAAGATATTTCAATTATAATCAATAAATATTTACTAAAATTAAATTATAAGCTTCTTAATATAATTTTTTTAATAATTTAATTAATGAACTTTTAATTGATAAAAATTTAAAAAAAATTTTTTTTTTTTTATAATTTAACTAATTTTAAATATTCATTTAATTATATAATTAAATATAATATATATTAAAAATCTATGAATCAATATATAAATATAATAAATTTTTATAATTAAATATAATATTTTTTTTATTGTATTAAAATCTAAAAGTTTTATAAATATCATTTTATTTAAATTTTTTAAATAAGTTTTTTTTTTAAAAAAAAAACAAACAAACAACATATTTTATTTTACAATAATTATAAAAAAATTTTAAAAATAATAAATTATTATAAAAAAAATTTTTTTGAAGCAAATTTATTAATTATTAACTTTTTTTAAATATATTTTTATTAAATAAAGACCTGAAGAACTTTTTTTTTAGAAAAAACAATAATTCAAACTTTTTTATATATAATAAGTTTTGGAAAAATATTGTTTACTATTATTACTACTGTTGGGGGTGATATCGGCGAGTCTGTCGCTACGTCGCGATCGCCGATCGTGTAACATCGAAAGAGGCGTGGAGATGTGGCACGAGGTAAGTGAAAGTGTTAGATATTAGTCTGAGTTTATGATAAAAGGACGG